GCTTCGTGTTCCTTCTCTTCTCAGGTGAGCTTTAGTTAAGTGTTTTCTCTTGCCCGTTTCTAAATGGCACGATTTCTCTGGGCTAATTTGCACTTAGTTTGGCACTGTTATTCGATGAAAGCTTTTATTCTCTTTCCTTTTGCACATTAGGATTCATTTTATAATTGTAATTGACGTTGCGTCGTGTGCTTGTTTTTTTTCAATGTTTACTTCCCCTTGATTATGACACTGACCGCAAATATTGCTACCGTGTACCTTCTGTACTGAATGAACTACTAAGCTATAGCTCTTCTCAGCCCAGTATAATTTGCTCATGGCCTCTGTCATTCGAGAGTTTTTGATTCAATGCAAATGAATTTAAATTTCTATTATATACAGCTGTACATATTTTCAGTTTCGATTACCTATGTATTTTATTTTTGACGTGGACAACTTTATTTCTTACTTTATAAGAAGTTCGAATTATTTACATTACCTAGTAATTAAAATTGTTTAAATTTAACTTCTGTTCAACCTGTCGAGAAAATACTGAAATTTGTGGGTTGTTCGGTCTTGACACATGCAAAATACTTTGTTTTCAATGAGTATTGCTTGAATTTAACAAACTACTAACACTTGCTATTTTATCATCTTACCCAGGAACTCTCTGCTCCCAGGCTCCCACAGGTAAGAATAAGTAGGTGAAGACGCGAAACTAATTGGACGCACATAACATGGATAGCAAAGTCATTTATGTACTCGTATGATGACGAAAAGATATTTGGAAGAAACCTGACTCAATGGAAGACTTCTAAATGACTCCTTGTTTGTTAAGAGATTTATATACTCCGAAATGTCCTAACCTAACATCGTCCAAAATAGCACGATATAAAATGAATTCCAACGCCAAACGAATAAAAAACGCCGAATTCGTTAATGTGTACCTCATCGTCGAACATTGGTGAGTTTATCAGATACAAGTCGTTGAAAAAATGCTTGCATGCGCACAATTCTCAAGAGACTAGCTGTTCACTTGTTTGATACGGCAATCGTGATGTGATTGACTGATAATAATCAGAAATATCGTTTACGGGGATTAGAGTGGCATTATTAATTTGCATGCAAATATTTACATACTAGTCGCAAGCTTAAGAAAGTTGGTTACTAAATGAGCGAGTTGTGGAGTTCATTTATTAATAACTGTCCTAAAGTATAGCAGATTAAATTTAGAAATGATATCCTACAAATCGATAATGACTACTTTCAGAGTTCACCGCCTTGATTTTGAGGAAATTCGGCTTAGTAATGAAATCTCTGTAAGCTGGGAAAATAAAACTCTAGTTAACTTCACAATTAGAAAATTAATTACAACATTGTTATCGGTGAAGATGCGGATGGATAGTAAAATTTATGAGCCAGACCCTGCTGAATATAAACTCGTTAAGGAATTAGACTCCCAAGTTACATGGGGAGCAAGCCAGCCGTCCAGCGGCAGTAAGTCGATGAAAAAAGCAGTTGTTGATATGCAATTCAGAGAACTACTGTACGGCCAACTTCAGTGTTTTTCAACTTTGGCTGTAAGGGTTCAACTATATGCAAGGTTAAATTTGATTTATAGTGGTAACTGTGTGTCTCCTCCTGTTCACTCCCGTGTTTTCAACAATGGTTATTGCAGGATATATTTTTTGTCGTGGAGAGCAAGTTTATTTTACCGGCACGACAGGTAGAGCGAACAGGTATGGCGAAGGACTCGGATCAACCGCGGTACAGTTAGTGGAGGTTGCGACGTGGTGCTGTGTGGTTGTGTACTTCCTTTCTCTTGCCTTACTCTTGACTGAAACTTCTGCAAGTTTCACGAATTTTAGCCGTATACTAGAAATCCTATAATCCTACGAGCAATGCTAATATAAAATGTTTAATTTGGTCCAAAGTCTATCTTCGGATGAGTTCATGTAGAGCATTGAGGTCGCCACGTGGACACGAAAGTAATTTATGACCGAGTTCACTAAACTTCAATTCGTAACATTCATATCACCAAAATATGGAAGTGAATGAAGATGTATCGTTCTTAGAGAAGAAATGTACGATTACGACGAAAGTTTATAAAATGCTAAAGCAAATACATTTTTCAAGTGTATCTAAGTTCCACTGTGTGAGGGTGACCTACTTCCCATAATTGTAGTTCTTCGGTAATATTGGGCCTGCTTTTTCACTTGTTATTCGCCTCCCTCGAACAGTTCGTAACCATTGAAAAATACACTCTTCACTTGATAGAATTATAGATACTTTACAACTCTAATTCACTCCTCTATGAATATGCCGCCTCCCGAGTAAACATTTATAAATCGTTCCACTCTTTTTCTACTAGGCTAACTCCTTGTGGGAAAAATATAGTGAACTTGCTTTTTCCAATGTAAACCCTTATTTTAACATTATTTAAGTTGTAAATGCTCAAACTCTTCAACGTGCTTTAATACCTGCACGAGTTTGTGAAGAATTACATTGAGGTGTGCCTAATTTACGATTTTTGATCAACCCGAGAATTTTACATTTGCTTTCATTCAACATTCGCACATCTTTCCTAATTTCGTCTCTGTGAATAGTAATCGTGAATTTATATACTTTCAGTTCTTGCTGGAAAAGCATAAGATAACAAACATGGCCTGCCTATAACTGTGAACCCCAAAAGTGAATCATGGCACACCGCTAACGTCGGAATACAATAATTATGTTCATTTCTCTTTATAGCCGGAAAATTCGGACACGACGCCTGTTTTTAATTTTGTGCGGCCCTTATTCATTAAATAGCGAATGCGGCTTATAATCTCTTGGAAGTTTGTATGCTTGGTGTGAGCTTATTCCGTGAGTGTCGAACTTGAACGACGATAATTAGAGGAATATTTCTTTCACCTGTTTGCTTATTTTTCACTGTAATTATACTTGAATTTGTTACACTGAATATTCTCGCTAATCACGCTGCGCAACAGCTGTGACTTCGGGCTGCAAGCCTGAGATACTAAAGGATAGGATGCGCTTTCCAGTCTCAATGTTTCCGATTTTTTATGCATCGCGTTCGACTCGGTTTGAGCAAGATTGCTGGGCTTGAGCATTTCTTTTTTATTTAGTATTTCCTCTTTTTTGCCTATCAGCTCTGTGAAATCTAAAACGACTTCAAATTATAACTACTTTTTCGTCTTTTAATGATGAAAAAGTGTGTTAGGGATTCATTTCCAGCTTTCGTTCCCCTGACATTCCCCGTGCAAAACGCGATACTACGTACTAACCAGCCCCCATGGAACGTTATGTACGAAAGTCATTGACGATGATCAATGTATCGGACTTGACCCTTAGCCTAATGACGGTAACTCTCATACCCAGGACTTTAGACACTAATATCATTGACGACCGATAATGAATCCGTCGCTAAGAGATTGATTAATCCACCATTTAAACACGCGGACTTGGAATGCCCATGCAGGTTCCTGGACCGATCGAGTTCCGAGAAACCTCCTAACATTGCAGCAGGTTCGTCATTGCTTTCTTTTCCAACGAGGATGCGTGCGGTCTTGGCACTGCTGTGTCGAGCGAATGATACTCTCTCTTGGAATAGTTTATTCAAAAGACTCAATTTGCCGATTAATTTGCTTGCATTACGAATTAAATAAAGCGACATTTTCCCCGAATTTGGCATGTTCTCTCTCTGACAACTGTTACGAAGTTTTAATGGAGATGTGTTAGCGTTTACCAACATGAATTTAGAGATTAAACCGGTTTTCTTATCCGTAGTTGATTTAAAGTAAGCGAGTAATAAAGATGTTTACAATTTTTTATCTCAGAAAAAATTATGAGCTGATTTTGAAAATTCTACTTTGATACTCAATGATTGTATCGTGATCGCCTTTTCACTTAGATATTAATTAAACTGCTTAACAATCGCTTTAGAAGAGTCTTTGAGTAGAAAAGTCGTAAAAAATGTATACAGTAAGTGGCGTGTCTGTGGTATTGCGTCATTGTTCTTGATCTATTTTCGTCAATTCAATTTCGCCAACCATAGCACGGTATCTGCTGCAAGTACAAAATACAATAAATATATTATATACAAAAACCTTTCATGTTAATTTCTCACGTAATTAGTCTATCAGCAGCCGCGCGTCGATTAATTTTCCGTAAGAATGACGCGAAAGACTCTGTATTAAGGTGCCCCTTGCTGTGCTCTTCTCTTTCAAACGACGGAGCAAGACGTGGCCCAAGAATGAGGCCACGACAACTGTAAGCTTACCTCCACCCGCTCCCCCTTCCTCAGCAGTCCAGCTGAAGCCTCATTGCATGTTTGTTCTTGTGCGTCTCTACCTCCTTGGCGTGTGCTCTTTCTAGTTCAGGAGTTATACAGTAACATTCATAGCCATCTGAATTCAGATTGGTTATTAAGGTTATATTTGTATTATCTTTCAACAACATTATTTATTTCCTGTGTTATAAAGTTTTAGATATATTATGTTTAAATTTATGGGCCCTTTTCATCTGGTCTACCGAGTACGTTGTCATTAACCACTGAGCTTGTCTCGTAAACATCTATTCTTGTATCGGTTGATCTATCAATGGTACTTGATTGTGATAAGATATTGCCGAAAAGATCGAAAACACATTAATATTGAAACTGAACGCTCATCGTGGATTGTCAGACAGATACGTTCAAGCTCAATTAATTGGCTGAGAACACGAAGTATTTTATAAGAAACATTTTGCATCTTTTTGTTTGAAAATCATCTCGTTCATCTTAACATTTCTGATTGTTTGACAATGTTCGATAATGAGTTCCTTGCTGGAGTATTCTGCAAGATTTCGTAGAAGATGGTTTAACACGAAAATATACTGAACGCAAATTTAAATCTGAGGAATCTTTCGTAAGAATGCCAGAAATTTGCATGAACCAAATTAGTTGTAGTTCGGCTTTTCGTGTACAATCCATTTTGTTCCGTTAGTGTATCAAAATTCCAATTATGAAGGAACAATTTGAAGTGTATTTATCTTTGCATTTATTACAGTTACATTTGCTTCTCACATGGACACACGCTTATGGCATCCAGTGAATTGGTTGAATTTTGGACGAGTACAGAATCATTTTTACTCGCAGTGATAAAATAAATTGATAATTTCAAGGAATACTCAATGGAATTGAGTATAAATGAAATTTTGTCAGTTCGGATTCTAATCTAATTTAGTGACAAGCTATGGCTGGCGTAATTTGAACGCGGTAGAGTTTTGTTGCATAGGAGCATTCGTGGTTTGAAACTAGCTAGTGTGTTAATGTGTCCGATTTTAATATGTGGCGGAACAATTCTCACTGAGAATTAATCTAGATTACAGTAAAAAGTGTATTCTATAGTTTTATGAAGGCAAAGTTGGATATCCGGGATTTGAATTTGTGCGATGCGGATTTGAAAGAGAGCATCCATCTTCCAAGTTCTGATATCAAAATCCTGTGGGATCGGGTCGCAGCCCATTTCAGATCATGAAATGTCGCTCGTTGCTCGATGAATCCTTTATTAGTGTATCAGTGATGTGTTTTAGACGCTACCTGTAGCTTGAAATGGCGCAGAAAGAGTTTATAAAAAGAATGCTAGGCCGAACTTTAGCTTTTTGCGTGTTGTGTTTGAGTTCACTCCTACATACTCTAGCACCTGCTCAAGCCTTCGTTTTATTATCTTCGTATCCTGGTAAGTGTCGCCGTTTCTGTGTGAATAAAACCTTGTTTATTGCACTCTTTAATGGCTTTCACTAATTAACTTCAATATTGATAACTGTTTTCATAAGGTAATACCCGCAGTAATTAAACATTTTCACTGTGTATGATATGCTCGAGTGTGCGAAATACAATCCAGCGGCCTTCGCATAACATTCCTGGGTACAGTTGGAAGAGTTGGTCAAGGCCAAACAAAGGACGCTCGATAGAAGAAAGCTCCAAATCCACACGCTTCTCTTCTGCATTGAAGCTCGTCGTCTGATACTTGACCGAGTGCAGCCGAGCCGTTCCACTAGGGCCGGGGAAAGCGTTCTCTCTCTCTGTGTAACGGCACAGGATCAGAACGACCGATTGCCTTGCTGCCTTGCCGAGCCATGAAACCCTGTGATGACACACAACCGCCTCCTACCTACAGCCCTGCCCTCCTCCCCTCGCTTCTACAGAATTACAGGGAAAGCGACTGGTTATAGGAGAAACAAGGATGTTACTTATCCTGCTTCAACACAATTATCGTCTTCACTTTTACTGATAGACTGGAGAGTAATTTATTTGTTTATTTCTTAATCACGTTTTCGTCCAACTTCTTTCATTTGTAATTCAAATTGAGGTAATATTTTTCAGTGACAAAAAATTACTGTTTAAAGACAACACTTCTGAACAATCCAGTGTCTTGGATGTTACACATGTACAATGAATTTCTAATTTCATTTTCAGATACTGAAAAAAAAAATTATTCTTCAAATTTGTTTAAAAATTAAAATTTTTGTAAATTCTAAAAATTATTTGTTCTGTCAATTGATTCATGCATTGTCTCTGACTTTATGCAATTGTGCAAAATTTCAGATCAATTGGACAGGTCAAATTATGTCATATATAGATTATAAGATTTGTAGGAGACGAAATTATTTTTTTATATTTTTTTAATACTGAAAAAAATTATATATTTTTTTTAATTTATAAATTTTAGATTCTGTCAATTGATTCATGCATTGTCTCCAACTTTACGCAAGTGTGCAAAATTTCAAATCGATTGGACAGGTAGAAGTGTGTTAAATATCGATTATAAGATTTGTAGCAGACAGACAGACAGACAGACAGACAGACAGACAGACAGACAAACAAGAAGTGAAGTTAAAGAGAAGTGTTGTAAAAAAGGAGCGCACTTCGTAAAATACTTCACGTAGCTTCAATACTACATGGTGAACAATTCGATCTCCATGTTAATGACTTTAAATTTTTTTTAATAATATTGCGATCGTACTCTGGAAGTAGCCATACTCTCAACTTCCAACAAAGAGTTCTTTTTTCTTATGGAAAGCTACAAAATAAAATACATGCGTGCTAATGAATCCGGTAAGATAAACTGGTGATTTTTATGAAAACTTGTTTCACATACTGTATTAATCAGAAAGCACTGGTGGACCCGATTTGACACTAGTCAATCAAAATCATGGATTATTTTGAGTGTTAATTATAGGCATTTTTTGAGCGTGTTGCACAAACAAAATACGCTTAGTTTTCTAGTAAATTTTCAAACATCGGACGTAAAATTTTTCATAACTTACGGCAAACAGTAACTTTTTGCTGGACTCGGCTTCTTTTTTTATTAGCTCGATAGTTCACTAGTGTTCCGAAGATAATAAGTTCCCAAATCACTGTCATTTCAGTTTTTGTTCTACTTGAACCATAGTTATTGAAGGCCCACTATTTAGACGTACACATTTTGTTGCAGCTTTGAGTCGTCAGTATGAGGTTGGTACGGCGTACGAGTACAGCTACGAGACGTCGGTGCTTCTCAACGAACCTCAACCCAAGCCCGTCTCTTCAGCCAAAGACGTTGGCTTTAAACTGAGAGGGAAAGTTCAAGTAACTCCCGTATGGCAGCACTCGAACAATCCTCACGAACAATTACTTCGGATAACGGTAAGTGAGAACCCTGATCGACACTTGCTTAAATTCGCTTTATGTGTATATTCTTCTGACTCGTTTAGTTCATATATGTGATCGACTTCAGTGTCTATGTTGTTTTGGACAAGAAAAATTACCAGTCTGGTGATTGTAATATGGATGTTGTTTAGTGCAATATAAAGATGCATTGTTTGAATCCTATATTTTTATAAGGGAAGAATTTTCGCGAAGATAGTCGGATTTACATATTTTAACAGCATGTTTTATGTAAAAATTTCTTCTCGTCATTTCAATCTTAGATTGTTTGCTTCAAATGCCGTGGTTCTTTCTAAAGGAGTGTATAAAAACGCGAGCTTTTGAGTCAACTTTTTTATTTAATAAATTTTACTATTGATAATTGGAGTCTACGTTGCGTGGGTATTATTAGGTCTTCTCAAAAGAAATTAAACTCTCGAAAAGATAATTTATTGTCTGCTTAATAATATTTCATTGATTGAAAATATATTATTCAAATTCAATTTGCTATGAATAATTCCATACGATGGTCATGCAGGTGGAGTCCTCGAAGCTGTCGGTCAAGGCCCGGCAAGGTCCGACGCCCGAAGGTTTCGTGGACAAATCCTCGCGGGTCGATGCCTTCAGGAACGATCCCATCTTCGTCTGGTGGAGCTCAGGGAGGATCAACAAAATTTTTTCTGTGAAAGGGGAAGACATTTCAAGCGTCAATATGAAGAAGGGTATTGCCAGTATTTTGCAGGTACGTTTAGTTTGACGTTCGTATCAGGGTTTAAAATTTTCGCAGTAATTTTCTGTAAGTTCGTACCAAGTACTTTCCCAAAAATTTTTTCTTAACATCAGGGATTCGCAGTGCTAGCCGTTGTCATCTTTAACGAACACTTATACTATATTTTTTGTGATGCACGTTTTATTCTGCTATTGTTTCCCTCATGGGCTCCTGATTAATATTGAAGCTGGTTGATTTTCTGCATTTATGCCTCACTTCGCCTTCGATTTACGATTTGAATGCAAATCATAACAATAATTGTGTCATGCAGACTCGGATTAATAGAATAGAAGTGTCGGCACTAAAGAAATAGGCCCATGGCTTATTGCCGATTCATGCAAGCCTCATTCACGCCAAATGATTAGTACAAAATACATGAAAGTTCTGATGCCGTCTAAAGGCAGAATACCATATTGCTCTAAAATATTTCTGCTCAGATATTATCGAACATCAAAACTTTTCAGGTGCAGACGAGTGTAGTAGAGAGAGAAGAAGTCGACGCTTCGGGTCGTTGTCACGTTCACTACGTGACGGGAGACCCTGGCAAAATAGTCAAGCTCAAAAGCAACTGCATTCCTCTTAATTTACCGATTTTCTATAACCACACCAACGAGGTAACCTGCATATGAGCTTATTTACTTGTATTGTTTCATGGACATGTAGAAATAAGTTTTGATTAAGCTGTCGTTTCTATTACTTGAATGTTAAAGAGATTTTAGGGGATAATTGCGTGTAAGTTTATGCCAAGTCTCTTTGCTAGCCCCGTATCCCCAATGGCAATGCGACTCTGTGCTCTGCATTGGTATCGCCAAAGTTAGCATAGTTAATTATTAATCTGTGTGGTTTATTTTAAGGTCCTCGGGGCTGAAATTCGCAGCACTGCTAGTGTGAGCTACGAATTGCGACCAGCGGACGGAGTTATCATGCAGGCCACTGGTCTCGAAACCCATTTTCTGCGGGTGGTGGCTCGCAAAACTTCGGCCTCGGAAGTAATAAGCAGAATAACGCTCCAATTTACCGGTCAGTTCCAAGAGAAATTATTCGTAGTTAGTTAGTCTGCAGAAATCATTTAGAGACTAGAGCGTTGTTCAAATATTTTGCAACTAGTACTAAATAATTTTTCTACTCGCGATACCTTTCGCTGCTGAATATATTTGAATTCATTTCGATTCAACAGGCACATATCATGATTTTTTACTGCCTATTTGTACGAATTAGAGATTTTTTAAATCTCAATTGAATTGCATACTTCTTTCTTAGGAGAGAAAAAAACGAGCGTGAGTTCCCCCGTTGGTGCCACCGAATCAGAAGTAATTCGAGATCTTTCCAAAAAGACTAAGTTGGACCTGGAGGCCGGAGATTTGACTTCTAGGGAAGACGTCCGGGATTGCATCGCCTGTAAATCGGTAATTCGATTTTGAATGTTATATAGAGAGTCTTTGTTTCAGTTTTAATCTGAATAGCTCGAATATTTCCAAAGATTCGGAAAGTTGCACGAAGTCTCAAAAACATCTTCTGAGTACCCGTAACCTCGAGAAAAAGAGATGTGGTATAGTTAGCTTCGATACGTAAGTTTCTGGGATGTAAATTAATCGGTTATTCCTGAAGTGTTGAGTGCTTTTCATTGGTGAAAAAACAGAGCGGTCGGAAGTGGTTTGGAAAATACTTAAAATGTATTTTTTATGATTTCTAGTTGGAACCAGTAGTGGTAGAGCCACTGCCAAAGTTCTCGCCGTGCTCCCCGACTAAATCAGTAACTTGTTCAATATGAGACTCGATCAATTAACATTTATGAAGCACATCTCTAAATGTGCATATTCGGCAGCGGGCGCCATTTTAATTAACGGGAATTATAGTCGATTGAGATTTCATTACCAAAAAGTGTCATTGATGAATATTTCAAGATTTTTTGAGGGTTACTCTCATTCTAGTTTATCCGATTAACTAACGGTTGGATTGTTCCTGAAAAACTTAGTTATTTTCATTTTGAAGCTAACATGTTAATTTTCAGCTCGCGGATCTCGTGGCGAACTTTAGAAGTGCGCTTAATGCCAATAACCTCGGATCACAAAGTTCTGCGTTGGCTTTCATAAGACTATTGAGGAAAATGAGGGAGAGTTCAGAGGCCACCATCAAAGCGATCTTGACTTCGAAGAAGAACAATAAAATTCTGTGAGTCATAAATGAGTTTTAAGCATTTTTTGAGCGTAATTCATTTTTCAAGATGAGTAATTCATTATTGATATTTCGGATATCATACATTGATCATATGAAGGTAATATTAGTTAAGTTTGAAAATAGAATTCGAACCTACTATTGATGAGTAGTGATGGAAATGTAATTCTTTCCATTTTAGGCAAAAAAAAAAAATTCTTGTCATCCTAAAAAGGAAATTAAGATCGAACTGTCATCAGCACCTTAAATATTCTTAAATTTTTATTTAAATGGCTTCTCCCCAGATATGTTCATTTAATGTGGGTCTATTATTAAGATTCCGCGCTCCGCCTTTTTTTCATTAGAGACGTCATGTCAGAATCAGACTGCACTTATTGCCATAATTTTCTTGTTGCAGGCTGCAACTCTTGGACATCGTCGCCAGCACCCAGACGTCGGCAAGTCACAAAGCTGCCATGGGTTTTCTTAACTTCCAAGAAGAACGTAAAATTCTCCTGCCCGAGCGATACCTCCTGACTGCGTCGCTGGCTACACACCCGTCAGCCGAGTCCATCAACGGTACGCAATGCCCGGGCCACCCGTCCGGTTAATTGGTTAATTGGCCAACGTGTTTGCTTATGATTGGCCTGCGTAAATGTCTGTCGTGACTGACCTGCGTAAATGTCTGTTGTGATTGCCGTATGTAAATGCCTGTGATGGGCCAACGTGCAAGGTTGATTAGACGATTATGATTATTATTATTATCAATTATTAGACGGATTATTTATTATGATTAGACGGATATGATTATTATGGCCGACATACATGGCGACGTCAATGATTGTCATGGTCGGCAATGGACTCGATATGCAGATGTTATTGGTTGTGATTCCTTCATTCGATAATTATTTTACGACTGACGTTGAACATGAAATTTTTTACGCCCAATTAATTTCTTATTATTTCCAAATGGCATGGTCTCTCTCTCTATCCCTCTCTGATGGAAGACGACTAAAATTCAATTCTCTACCGAAAAAATTTTAATCACATGAAAGAACTATTATCACTGTCAATTGTTGTATACATTACTGAGTGGTCAGTTATGCTATTTTTCCCATGCTAGATTCGTTACTCTTCACTCAGTATTTTCGGTACTATAAAATTTCCCCCATCGATATTCCTCGTAACTGAAATTCACTAGTCTGTTGGTCTGATGCCTTTTCCTCATTTCGCCAAAGATTTCTTTAACCTCGTCAAGAGAGGAGTGAGCAACAAGCATTTGTACGAGACGCTTGTTTACACCGTGGCTTCACTTGTGAAGACCTATTCCAGGATGCCGGATAACGCTGACAAGCCGGTTAGTATTCATCAATATCAGCTAGCACAACTTGATTTGCCTCAATTATTTGATTAATAGAGACATAAACGAATATTACTTTACAACATTATAGGTCCCTGTACAAAGCATTACAATATTATAGGTACCATGCCAGGCAAAGTTTTCAAACATTAATGTTCGTCCGTGCAGTTAATCGCTGAAGCTTCCTCGTATTTCCAAGAGAAATTGGGCAATTGCGACGGCACTCCGTGCACTATGCTGTACGTGTCCGCCTTGAAGACTCTGCAGCAGAAGCAGTCGATCCCTCTGCTCTTGGACGTCGTGCGCAAGGCCCCGAAGAAGGCTGCTATAAGTGCTATGCGCGCCATTCAAACAATGCCCAGCAACTTTATAGATGATCGAGTGAGCTCAAATGATGCCTTTTATATGTTGATTAAATTGACAAACATTATCAAAGGAGAAAGCTCAATTTCAACAAGTCAGTAATTATTTATAGATTCGGATTCGCAGAGATGGATTCTTTTAAATTGTTGATGTTCAGATTTCAAAGAATCTATATGCGAGTCATTGTGACTTGCAAATAGTTACAGCATTCATTATTAACATTTAACTAAATTGATAACATTCATATGTATATGTTCAGATAATCAAGCAACTGGAGAAAATTTTCTTTGGACTTGATAGACGGCATGACTCTTCGGTAAAAATCATCGCCGCTGATATGCTCCTGCAACACACGCCTTCGGAAGAGTTCTTAAAAATGCTCCTGTTGCAAATCCGAGATCAGAAAAACAAAGAAGTTAATACAGTCCTTCTATCGAAGATACGTGACATGATGGATAAAGGAAACCAGGAAGTTTCTGAGGTATTGTCTGTTTCTTCGCTTCTAGTTTCGACTAGAAAGGGTACTTCAGTACTTTCTTGGATGCTTAAATATTGTTGCAATTAATATTATTATTGCTCTGAAAACGATACATTGTTTTTTTGACAAGTTGCCGTACGTGTAACAATTTTTCCTTCCAGATTTAGAGAAAATTTATTTATATTTAGCATTACTATTAAATTACTAACTGAATTATTGGACGCTACAGGTATTCAGGAAAGTTATCAGATCGCCAGAAGTTGGCAACTACCACGTGCTAGGCCAGAACGGCCTGTCGTCAGCCTTCTCCCGCCCTTTCACAGCCGGCTCCCTCAACGCCGCAAATGCTTCTTTTTCCAACGTTCTTGAGATCAACGGAGGCCTTTTGAAGCGCTCAACTGTCGATGTTTTCGTCCGCAACCACAACGAAAGCATGCGACTGCTCTCGGTAAGCCTTAATGCATTCTATACTGAGATTTATTTTATATTCAATTATTACAACCAAATACTGTGAATCAAATAATAACAGTAATAGTAAATGTTATTTGGTAACAGTTCGGCATGTTTGCTGGTGGTCTGGACATGTTCGGTGGAGGATCAGAAGACGACGACGTCACTGAAGAAGACCAACAGGAAGTCGAGGATGCCAATGCTGGCATCGAAATAACTCTCATGGATACTCAATTACGACCGTACGTCTTCTTCACCAGCAAAAGTGAACTCATGGGTCATGTTTGGTCTGGAACTGCTTCAGAACGAACTACTGCACTCCAGGTGAGACAGAGACACATCAAATCTTGTTTATTTCACTTGTTTTGAAAAATCCTAAGCAAACAAGATTCCTAACAACAAATTAATGTACTGTTTTTAATTTCGAAGACATAAAAAAATAAACTTGTGCGCGATTTCTCTGCATGAAAGTAACCCTTTCCCTGACACGTATTTTATGTTTTTTTCATATAACTTAATTTCGTCTGAAGTGTTATTTCATATTTCATTATTCCAGGGTTCTGCTCTTCTCCATGATCACCTCCAGCGTGTGCCGCTACAGAATGGATTTACTATCGAGATGCTCCTTACAGGCTCAATATCTTACGACTTTGCCGGCCAAGTTCAAATTTCCCTATGGAACCAAAACGCTCATAGTCTCGTTGAAATTGGGTAAGCGACCTGTCCTTTTATTTAACTTCCTGTTGACTTGACTAAGAGGACTTTTTATCATTCAATGTCGTGAAAAAACCAGATACATATAATTGAAGTTTGCACGTTTAGTTTATTTAGTATTATGTATCATGCGTGTTTGATAAAAAGTTAAATTTGTAATTCCCTCCTTGACAGCGCTGGTATGATCATACAAGGACAAGCTCGAGTGGACACGAGCTTTGTTCAAACCATGATCGAGTTCAATACGGGTGTACAAACCAGGCTGGATTTCGTCTCGGATCTGGAGTTCGGCAGCGGAGTGGCCATGTGCATGCAAATGGTAAAATACTTTAGAGAACAAAAATATCATTAACTTTAAAGGGTAATTTGATGATTTCTACTTGCTATTTAAAATATATGAAAAATGTTGAATTGAGACAGCATTTTTCAAAAATGTAATTCTTAGAAGAGGCCATTATTTCTCAAATAATTGGTGCTCGTCAAAGCTGATGAATTTTTAAGTGAAGATTTCATGCAAAATTCGCAATGACCACCACGGTCAAGCCCACAGTGATTTTTCAACATTCCAACATCCAAATTTCTGCAATAAAACGAAACTTCGATAATTTCACGTACACTTATTTTTTTGCAGAGTCAGCCAAACTACGAGATAATCGAGAACGTACGCAAGCTGGAACGTATACCTGGCAGCAATTATGTGCTGCGCAAGTACAAAAAACGAACAATACCAGGGCCGGGAAAAACTTATGTAATGAACAAGAAGAATAGCCTTTTATGCAATAAAATGTTTGGTAGCGAAGAACGTTGAGATTTTTTAAGTAAACCAGTAATATACCCCACATATATGTTCTGTTGTACATTGATTGCATGTGTGAATAGATAAGAATGGCATTATCTATTGTGTGTATAAAGCTCTCCGTATTGTACGTTAAAACATTTCCTGTCATTATATTCTCATTATTATATTAATTTCATGGTAAAAGTTTAGTCCTGAGGACCATTTTTTTATATATGACAATTTTTTCTGCTGTCGCATGTTAGGATAGGCTGCAGGCTAGCTGAGAAACTCAGCGGGACGCTTTCGCCTAGTGTGTTGTTTCAAGAATTGAATGTTATGAATTTCAGTGCAATGCCATGCTAAAATTTTTTCATTAATGTTCAGCGTTTTCGAAATGAAATGTTCAGTGTTTTTGAAATGAATTGTTCAGTGTTTTATGTTGTTCGAGTGTTTTTGACTCTGGCTTGATGTTGTTGGAGTGTTTTTTTTTTTTTACTCTGGCTTGATGTTGTTGGAGTGTTTTTGTCTCGGGCTTGAGGTTGTCGATGAATTTATCTTGAAAATTAATAGCTGGCTCTCTCTGTCCTAGCGTAAAAAAATGAGGGAAGAGACAAAACTTATTCGTACCCATGTTCAAAAAAATAAGTGAAGTGCTCGCAATTTAATATGCATTGCAATGATAATTGGCAAGTAACATCACGGTTTAGTGGCCGTCAAGTTCAGTTGATATTTTTTTAAGATCGTTTGTGATATTCCATGACATTTATGATTGTTTTGAGTTGCCTTCTGAGTTGCTTCGTTTGATCACTTACATTTTCGTGTCATGTGCTGCTTCCATATCCTCTGATTCATTCCTAAAAAATTGTAATATTCTTCATTTTAAAGAATACGAGTGTCGTTAAAGCCGCCAAGACGAGCAAACAGGTCAAAATGTTCCGCAATTCGGGTGTATATATGCATTTTAATTCGCAAGTTATTATAACCATCAAGTTATTCCACGTTGTAGAACTTTTCAATAATTGTGATATGAAATAAAGTGAATGCTCAATGATATATCTTTTGTTTTACCTACGTTACTTTTACCTCAGCTCAGCTGAGGCTCAGCTGTTCCGCCAGTCCAAATTTTCGAGGGAACTTTTCTATACTCAACTCAACTCAGTTTGGAAGTTTTCTCCGTTCAAAAGGTTTAGTTCGTACATTTTACAATGGCTGGACAGAAAATAAAAAAAGATAGTCGAAAAGCCCTCTACGGTCTCCAGTAAAAAAAGTAACAATCTGCCCAGCTAGAGACAAAAGTTTGCAAACACTGCAAAGTGATCTATCTGAGCAAAGTCCAGAAAGAATTAGCAACCGTCCTGGTCGGCCCATTGACAGTATTCTTTCAAAAAACCTTGAACGAAGGAACTCTGCCGTCCGACTGGAAAGAAGCTCAAGTTACACCATTGTTCAAAAAAGGTGACAAAAGCAGCCCCGGCAACTATCGCCCTGTCAGTCTGACAAGTGTTGTTTGTAAGCTAATGGAATCTGCTGTGAGGGATAGGATTATCGATCACTTGACTGCTCACCATCTCCTATCAGATTGTCAACATGATTTTATTGCCGGTAGATCCTACACCACTAACTTATCATCTACGTTGAACGATTGGACTCGCCTGCTGGAGGAAAGGGAGCCAGTGGATGCATTGTACCTCGATTTTTGCCAAAGCATTTGACAGTGTTCCGCATGAGCGGCTGTTGCGTAAAGTGAAGCCTTTGGTAATTGAAGAAAATGTACTCCAATGGATCAGAGATTTTCTAGTAGGTAGACGACAACGTGTCAGTATTAACGGAACCATGTCAGATTGTGCATCAGTGCGCAGTGGCGTGCCACAAGGAAGCCGTTCTTGGGCCTATTTTGTTCGTTGCTTTTATAAACGATCTGCCAGAAGCAGTGTCCAGCGTGTGTTCCATGTATGTCGACGACACAAAAGTTTATAATATAGTGAAGGATGCGTCAAATACAGCGAAATTGCAAGATGATCTCGACAGTTTAGTCAACTGGGGTGATACGTGGCAGCTGCGGTTTAATGCTATGCTGACAAGTGTAAAGTACTTCACCTCGGGAAGAACAATGAACAGCAAGATTACAGTATGAGAAGACATGGTTACAACGAGAGAGTAATGATTGAAAAGTCTAATGTGGAATAAGATTTCGGTGTTTATGTCGACAAGAAGCAGAAATTTTCTAAGCATGTTGCAACGCAAGCTAACACATCTAACACACTTCTTATACTAATCCGACGCTCATACGAGTTCCTAGATGCTGAAGCGAGGAAGCAGTTGTTTGATGCAGTCGTGCGCCCGAATCTAGAGTTTGGAAACGTTGTGTGGTCATCCAGATTTGAAAAGGACAAAAATTTAATAGAAAATGTTTAAAGACTTGCAACAAGGATAGTTCCAGGCTTGAAGGGCAAGTCCTATGAAGAAAGATTAAAGGTTATGAAGCTTCCAAGCCTCAAATATCGACGTCTGCGTGGGGACCTCATTGAAGTATACAAGATCCCCGAAGGATTACTAGAATTTGAAACAAGAACCAACACCAGGGGCCACGGCTATAAACTAAAAAAAACTGCGCTGCAACATCTTCACGCGACAACATTTCTTCTCGACATGTGGAACAGCCTCATCGTTGGCGCTCCAAGTATGAACGCGTTCAAGAACAGACTAGATAAAGCTATGGAAATATATATGTTCAGACTGAAATGCCTAGCACCATATCGAACCCGGTGGAAGTCTAGTGACTATTTCAAACTATCGTCAGTCATGAAAAGATCCAACAATAGTTCCGAAAAAGTCATGAAAATATCCGAAAATGACACGATTTTAGATCTTTTGTGAACAAGGCATGAAAAGGAAAAGAATCGGCGACAGACCACATCAGGCCTACACTTCAGCGCTGACATCACTATATATGTTATGTTATGTTACGAATCAGAAATGCGATAGATTTCAAAATGTTGAGGGCAGTTCAACTTCAATTTTCTTGTTACTCGTTCCTTAGATAAGTGTGAGAATAAGGACGCTAATCTAATTATGGTGTGCTTACAAGCGTTCAAGGTGAAATAAATTTTATCTTTACTAGGGGATTAAGATAATAGCTGGTTCCAGTTACGTATTTGCTTGGTTTATTCGTGATGGCATATTTTTTCCGCTACTGGAGTCGAGAAATCGAATATGAATAAGTTACAGGGGAATTCCTGAAAACTCCAATAACAAATATATTCAATCACTGATAACTAATTAGTTAATTAAATTGTCGCTAAAATCTAAATAGCTTTCAGTTGATACTCTGTTTCATTTACTCATTTTACAATAATTTCATTTCTTTTTCGGTGGATTGAATCATAGGACATGAGCATCACGTCGTAGAAATTGCTTTGTGGCGCTCGATGTCCATTACGATGAATCACAATCGAGTCGACCCGCTTCGTAACCATAAAAAATGCATTCCATAAAAAAATGAGTTGCAAATGAAAACAGTAATTTAGTTTAATTGACTCTTGTATCGTTATAGAGAAATACTGTAAATCCACCCACGATATTATATCCTGGCCTGTTCATATTATGCGCACAACAGACTCGAGAGGTTGATTAAATATTATCATCATGCAACTTTGGATTATGAGAAAAATTTTGAACATCATTAAACCTGGATTCTTATTTGGACTCAAGATCAATTTGAAATTTTCCATCATGGGACCGAAGATCGCATTGGCACTTGTTGGCAAAGAGAACACTTAATATCAATGCCTGCATGCATATGAAAAATATAACTCAGTACTCACTGCAGTGAGTGACAGCGAGCGTATTTTCTCGTCGACGAAAACGTGAAGTCGCGGACGGACAGACAGACGGGCATAGCGAGCACAATAGTGTACTTTTTTCATAAATGAGAAAATGCGCTAAAAAGTGCGATCAACTAAAGAATCGTGATCACGGCTAGAAAATTCGTCAGAATCCTACAAGAGAAGAAATCAACGCAGGATGCGGCAGGCACTCCCAATAAGGACCTTGACGAAGCGGTCGCAGCGAAGGACACCGACCGAATGACGACCACACCCGACAGTGCTGGACTCTCTGGTCCACCTTCGAGGAGTCGAAACTAGAATAGAACTAAAAATTTGCCGTTAAATCCATGTATTTGACGTCGAGTACAGACTTTAGAAGGATACAAACTTGATGCAGTTGCACTTTCAAGTGCCCTTCAGATATAGCATAAAAACTTTTTTCATGAGAATCTGATTGCAACATCATTGTGATGCTTTACAACTTATATAAAAACTTAGTCTTCAAGTTTTTTGTGAATGAGGTTGATATTCAGCGAGAGAAGATTGTTATCAGTATCAATAACAATCAACTCATCAAGCGTTCCTATTGCTTGTTTCCGAATAAAAATCAATATTATACTTCATTACCTCGTATAGCCAATTAAACAGAGGTGAGGTATTATACTTTCAATAATTTTTTTAATTTACCTACACATTTATTTCAGCAAAGAGGAATAGTCTAAAATTAATGACCTTGTATTCTCCGGCATAGAAAAAATGAAGTTATCCTTGTATTCTATATTGTGTATACTGTTTCAAGTTGAATATGGAAGACTCACAGTTTAAGAAACACAGAGCAAAGCGGATGCAGGGATAGCAACCACTCCCCACAGAGGTGGAGATGCTACCCTAGGGGCCACACCCTCCCCAGGGGCATCAGCATCGGCGACCTTGGGACTCAGCAATAGAGCTAAACCGCATCTCTGGCCCTAGCGCCTGGCAGCGTATATTAGTCTGGTGTAAAATTTTATTCCCACAGTTCAGTTGAATTAAATGCTGTTATTGGCGTGATATCTTATAAAAAATGAGAGCCAGATATTGGATAGTTAAATATTATGTGATCAAAATGTTTAGATGACCCTAACCTTAAGATTGATTGACTTTTCTGTCAGAACGCATTTGTGCATTAGGGTTTCCATTGATTACGTCTATGATCAATGAACCTTTTTGCAATAGCTCATTGGAATAGACGAGATGTTTTTAGTGCTGATAATATTGGCTGCAATATCCTCAATAGCATACTATTACACAGTTGTCATATTTCCTCACTTTTGTAGCGATTGATCACGTTAATGTCTCTTTTTAAGTGCGCAATAACCAAAATAAAATTCTACAAGTAAATAAATGAGAATTATTTCAAATATTTTCAGCTAACGATTCTCGCTGCTTTTCCTGCAATCGATTGCATGCAAATGATTAAGTTATTTCAATGCCGATCGTCGTTCTACAACGTATGTTGTTTATGTTTTCGTTTAATCGGCACGACTTTACGGACCAACTTAACTTTGTATGTACGTCCCTAATTCATTAAGCAACCTAATCAGTTATATTAATAGAAATTAGTTATCAATTGAACAAATTTTTAGCAAATTACAAACTCGTCAGGACAGAATGCTCATGTTATTCAGTCGAAACATTCCAGCATGCATCAAGCAGCCTTGATGGTCCACTGCAGCAATTTAGGTTTGTGGAAGCACAGGCTCGACTCCTCGCCTCGCCCACAGCTCATATATAAAGGCACCCGCCACCTGCAGGCCATCACTTGTGCTCACGACGTGGCGACATGAGGGTCTTGGTAAGTAGGTACTTTGGCGTGAAACAAAATGAGAACAATGGTTTAATTAAGCGAAATTTTGAAGAGAAAAAGTATGATTCAGCAAAAAGTGGAACAGGAAATGAAACTTAAAGTTGATTATGCCATGAGCAATGACCGTTTAAAATCGACAAAAGTTGCTTCATATATGATGACAAAATTTTTTTATTTAACTCAATGGACAGTTTATTCAATTAGTCACAGTTCATTTAATAAGGGCGCCATTTATGAATCATTATGTTATTGCGAGAAATGTTTACAGAAATTTATGGATAATTTGTACAGACTAAAAACAAAAAAGTTGGCAAAGGTGATGAGATTTCCTTGAGATCATTAGAACAATTTATCAGAATTATTTACATATTTACAATTAACGATGAAATTTAGAATTTATGATGGCTTTTACAAATACTTTCATTGGGAGAATTAACCCTACGCAATCATTTTAACGATCATTCTGAATTGGCACTCGTTTTAATTTTAAACAGTTCATGATTGAGAGAAAGAAGATAGCAAAGTTATTACAAGAATTATACAAAATTAGATTTATGCAATTTATTTCTTTGGGCAGGTTCTATCTTGCCTTTTGGCTGCCAGTTTGGCAGCTCCTGCCGCACAACCCGAAAAGGATGACGATAATTTGGCAGTAGAGGCTGGCCCTGGCGTGGTCCACGTTGTAGGTGCGCCAGTCGGGTACGAGGCCAAAGTAATTACCGGAACTTCAGTTGCTGATCGCCGACAAGCCGTAGCGTACGCAACTCCTGTTTTATCCAACACTGGAACGCCAGTATTTGCTGGCTTTGCACCTTCAGTCAGTACTTACGCAGCTTCTGTGCCAGTGCTACATAAATTCAGAGAAATTGATGATGATGATGTCAAAGTCATCTCTCATGGATACAACGCTGTTGCTAATATTCCTTCAGGAGTTAATGTGGTAGTTTCGTCACCTGTAGCAACAGAACACACAGGACAAATCAAAGTGGAAACTCCGGTTGTCACTGCTTATCATGCCACGAATAATGTTGCCTACAAAGTCGGACAGGCTGGTGCTGTTCCAGCTGCCGCCACTTACCACCAGGTGGGGCACTCAATTTCTACTCCTGCTGTGGCTTCCTACGCTGTTGCGACCCCAGTGCAGTATAAAGCAGCTGCTGTTGATGTCGCTCCGGCCGTAGCAACTGTTCAACACCAGGCAGTCGTTCACGAAGTCAAACCAGTGTCTGTTGCAGTTCCAACTACCTATACTTTTGAATCTGCTCAAACAGTTGAGCTCGCTCCCAAGGAAGTTCATGTACCGGTACACCATCAGACAGTCCATGTGCCAGTTGAGAAACGAGTTCAATACGGAACAAAGAACTTTGTGGTTGGATCCACAACAACGGTGCACAAGCCACAACTTTCTGCACCCGCCATCAGCGCCCCAAATGTTCTCGTTGCCAAGACCAACCTTGCTGCTCCGGAAGTCACTGTCCATCAGTCTGAAGTAACCGTCGAGAAAAAGAGTCCAAACTACGTAGCAGCTCCTTACGATGCCGGAGTTATTGTTGAGAAAGCTAATCCCGAATTTAAGCAAATCGATGTCCCTACACCAGTTGAAGTCCCGCAACCAATTCCTGTGCCAACCCCATATGCTGTGCCTGTAGCTCAGCCTGTTAAGGTTAAAAGTTCCATCAATCCAGTTGTACACACCGACGTGCATACTGTACGGACAGAAAATGTGGTGACACCCATTGAGTACTCCGCTCACCATCACGTCGCTGCATCCCCCGTTGTTGCGTCTGCTCCGGCTGTTCAAACCTCGGCGGTGCAAGGAGCACCTGTAGCACTGTCTTATGGGGCTCCTACCGCTACAGGAATTGCCCAGGCAGTTGCGTTACAAGGAGTGCCCAGTCAAAGTTTTGCGGTTCAAGGAGTGCCCAGTCACGGTTATGCCATTCAAGGAGTGCCCAGTCAAAGTTTTGCGGTTCAAGGAGTGCCTAATCAAGGTTTTGCCGTTCAAGGTGTGTCATCACAAGGCTTTGTCTCAGGAGGTCAAGCCATTGGATACTCCGGTTTTCCAGCAGGGTACAACGCAGTCGTTGCAGCTTCTCCCACTTATGTCGCTGGGGGCTACCAGAAAATTGACGCCATTCCTTCAACAGCCTTCACTGGACAGAAAGTAGGAGAAGCTGTTTTTCAGTCGGCAGTCATAGGAGACGTCCAAACTGGTGCAGCTAATAAAGTTATTACTTACACAGCGGGTGCTGGGACCGTCGGGCAACAGGTTGTACAAGGCAATCCTACTTTACACTTCGTCGCCGCTCCCGCAGCTCAAGTTACACTGAGTGGCCACGTTGAGAAGAAAAATTGATTGTTGTACTTCACAGGAGTCGTGTTAATATCAAAGAGTAAATGTTAATGACGCCGTAGAAGCTCGGAGACACAGTAGTAGGACTTTAAAGCGTTGCACATGCGCAGCAAGCCAATGGATGTACGTAGTATTTTCAAGCTCCAACAAAGGAAATTGCCAGTTTTCGCTACGCTCACCTTAAGTTTGAAATATAAGAACCGAAAAAGACTAACGCCGCTCGCATGATTTTCCTCAGTTTAAAATACTTAATAATACGCTCTATGTAAATCATCACTCACATAATAACGAATAATTATAAGTTAAATTTCACGACATTATAGTGTTATGGAAAAAATTTCATCATACACAAGCGGTGCACCTAAATTAGATCAAATTTGTAGTTTCTCATTTCATGCGCGTGGATATCAACGAATGCTCTCTATAATAAAAAAAACACCAAAATTTATCTTAGCTTAGAAGCCACATTAAAAAATTTTAAAATAATCACAAATTATTCCATTACATTATCAACATTCATCGATTTTTATTTGAAATTTAACTCAGGACCGCATCCTCTCCAGGAAGAGGTATTAAAGAGTAAAATAATATTAATTTTATTGCAATCAACCACCCGAAGCCCATAACTTAATTTTTTAAACAGCTATTGCGTTTATTAAAAAATGCGCGAATCTCTTTCATTTCGTTAAGTCTCGTGTCATCTAATCGATTATTGCCGCCATTGATACGAACCTAACTATTTTCGATGCGGAAGCGCGGACAGACTCACTACTCAACTCCACATTGGCATTATATATGTAACGTTTACGCGACATATCAGATTAGCTGTGTCATGCAAAACAGCTTATTTAAAAAAAGGTTCCATGTGGTTGGGTCCTAGCTTTCGAAAACAACAAGAAGTAGTTGGAAAATTTTTTGAGATTCCCTAGCGGTGTTCCATGACCGAGTTACCAAATGGGCCTTTTTCGACCTAATTCGACGATTCGGCCTTTTCCTAATTGCGTTTTTGCCGACAAAAGTCCACAAAAACCTCGAATTTATTATATTTCATTCATAAATTCCAATTTGATTATTTTTGCTACACATAAAATTGAGTTCTGGCATTGTAAATAACAAATCCACTGATGTATATTGAATTAGAGGCTCTCGTGGGTCTCTATCCCACGTGCGCTGTTCCCAGATATGAACAATTGTAAAGGCTTTAACTTCATGGATCATATACTTCTCAACGTAAAAGGATCGTATACTTCTCGACAAAGCGTTTTAGACCGTAGTTAGGAGCAATCAACTTACTACCTCTTGACTAACTATTTACTGAATGCAGGCTTTTCCGCTATGATGCTACTGGTGGCTTTGGATGATATCAAGTGAAAAAAAAAAAAAAAAAAAACAGTGGCTGCCAACATCGTCTCTAGAGTAGCTAACATTATGAAACGTGAATCGCAATGCCGCTTTCTGACATTTTGAGTGTCTGAAAAAAATGAGTATTGATGGGGAAAATGTAAACAAGTATTCGATATATTTCATTCTATATGGCAAATAATAATGAGCGCATTAATACAGCGCTCTGACACAGAAAACACGGGAATAGACGATCAAAAACACAGCAAAACTCAACAATACTTCGTCTTCAATTAGAACCTTAATACATATCATGAATATGTATTGCCACAAAATGATCGAGGCTAATTGATCATCTTCCAACGATTGTGTAACCATCACGCTCGACCCGAAATTAATATAGGCAAAGCAGCATTATTTACCTCAAAAATAAGTTCGTGTAAATGCGGCTCTGCCATCACATTTCATAGACACTATAAAGTCGAAACTCAAACGACGTGAAAATTTTTAGACAACATACCTCGTCACAAACTGATCGCTTCCAGCTCGTCCGGGTTATCTTCATCATAATTAGTGAGTCATTCGATTAGTTCTTATTGAAATGAAAATTTCCGAGTACACATCGATTCATTACTTTTTTTAGAAGAATATATCACGGGCTACACGAATCAATCACGATAGGCAGATTTTTAGATCCGCACACGACTTACCCTTGGCACAAAATTTCGTCCTAGTCGGCAACCCACATTAAAAATTGCATATAAAAGCTTTCTATAAAAATGCATAGAAAAGGTCACAACATTGAGCCACTAAACTCTACGGAATAATAAAAATATTACCATTAAATGTACAGATTTCTTGGCTATTAGTTTACGCAATACACACGAAAAATGCTATTTACAAGCAGAAATAACTGTTAATTATGATTGAAAATATAGATCAAAACAAATAGAAATACACATATATAAATGACAAGTTAATCTAATTAAACAAAACGAATACAATCCTTGACTTTTCGTAGACAAAATTCTATTCCTGTTGGAGCAAGCTCTGTGAATTGTTCAAACATCAAACATGAAAATTTGTTATCCTGTAACAACTAAATACAGCAGCTCAAATAACCAGGCACTTAGGCAAGAATAGCCTAGCAATGTAACAAAAGGTCATAAATCCAGAGTTGTTTACTGACAACTTTCTTATCAAAATTTCAGAAACGAATATCATCAACGATTAAATATTATGTAAACTAAATGATGAAAACATGGCAACCTTGCCGAAGAGTTACGCTTTAACTAGTCGGTCCGATAATATTAAATAACGGCAAGAACGTATATTTTCTGCTAAAGAAAAATTATAAATAATTTAATTATGAACACAGCACAACTGACCTAGCCGAAGGCTAATTCAGTAAATTAAATATGATTTCAGAAAATCATGTTAACGTAACAGGAGTCTAAAGATTCCGAAATGAATTTGGAATGTACATGGAAATGATGGAAACAGAAGTTCAATGGTGCGCTTGAGTTATGTTCACTGGAATGAGCCCTGTTTTGACTGTATGAGCTCTCTTGCATCTAGGTTAAAGTTGCATTCACGAAAGAAGAGTACTGTGAAGCGCAGTGTGATGTTCAATTTCGAATAATTTCTTTGAATTAGTAAGCACGAAATCTAAGGCAGGTACAACTATGTGGAATAATCCAAATTATGAATTTGGATTAATATTTTTATTTGCATAAGAGGAAAATTGTTTAAAAATAACATACAGAGCCTGAATCAAAATAATTTAAGCAAAGTCCTTCTGTAATGTTTCCAGAGTAAAGTTTACTTGAAACAATAAACAAAACCCTCGTATTTGAAGTAAAAACGTAAAATCCACATCAAGTTAGTCCTTCATAGAGCAATAATTCTAATCGGATGAGAAAACATTTGTAAGCAAATTTTTTTCAGCCACAGGCACTTGATAAAGGTCACATTTCAATTAACTCGTTAACGGGCGAAGCTCGACATCCCTGCGTGTTTCACGTCGCGGTGAAGTCTGGTCTAATTGGTGAATAATTCAGACGTAAAAACGACAGCACCATTGGGAAAAATTGAGTTGCGATCCCAAGGAACGATACTATTTTGTAGATTTATGAAGCGGCAGAAAGAAGTTGAGATACTTTTTAACGGCCGTGTATCACACAGGAATATTTCTTTTGTTATGAAAAAGCGAAATTTCCAAGAGAAATTTCAATGACCGTTGCGATGCAGGCTGCTACTGTTATTGGGGCCGTTAAAGTGCACTGGCGGGATGGGGGGAGCCATCCTTGTTCCGCTCGTGCCGTTGCTGTGTCGCTGGTTGCCGTTGACAGAAGCCGTCTTGGTGACGGGTGCCGGCAGGTCTTTGTTGAAGGATGACGGCCAGCAATAGATTAGGTCGCTGCTCTTCTTGCCTTTCCTGTGATACAATTCAGTGCGTTAGCAACCAGTCGCTTCATTGCGAAATGATACAGGCTATATCGCAATATTTGACAGGTGCAGACACATCATACCAAATAGCTGACAATTGAAGGCACACCACGCCACAGAGATTACACTAAGACACATCACTTCCCGTAGATAACACTAATGCACAACAGGCAACAAATAAGACTAAGACTCATAATAGCACACATTAAACAGAAGAAGAATCGAGAATAAATAAATATGCGGCTGTAGATTGCGATGCAGCCAGCAAGGAGCACACAAATGATGCAGCTTAAAGAGTCCCAAGCTCTTATAACAAAAGACTTACGGATTAATTCATCCTTATTGGATGATTATGATAGACATCAAAGCATGATTATATGGTCATTTGATCAAATTACATAATTATAATACATATATATAGACCCATTTTTTTTATTGGATGCCCAATCAAAATATTCAGAGACGAATACCAAATTAGAATGGCATTCCAATGTTAAATGAAATATTTCTTCGTTCAAACAAAAAAACCATTCATTATGAACAGGCCAAACAGAACGAGAGAAATAACAACTTACTTGAAGGCAGCAAAAGAAGCGATATCGTTGACCTCAACGGTGATCATTTTAGTCTTGTTGCCCAGCATTGTCTGTACGACTTTGTTGACGCTCACCCTGAGCTCCTGGCCGCTGATTTTCTGATAATGCAGCCTGAGCACAGCGACGAGCTCCCCGATGCGGTTAGTGTGACTGCTGGATATCAGTGAGACGAGGAGGTCGTTACCGCCCCTCAGGTGAATGGCTGCCAACTGTTCTTGTCCATCAGTGACAGTAACGCCAGTTACATCGTGAAACTCAATGGGCGTTCGCAAAGGTTTGAAGGTTTTGCTGTGTAGTTTGTAGAGGTGCTTATCCGTGATTACCAAAGCTCGTTCACACATCTTGTTATTTCTGTTGTACTTGAGAACGAGAGTCGAGAAGACAACGTCTTTGAAGCCGTCTTTGTTGCGCATGTTACGCACGGCGTCGACAAATACGGCCGCGGCAGGGTTCTCACTGTGCTGGGATAAGTAATTTCCTTCCCATTTTTGTTGTACTCCCCAGTCACTTCTTTTTCCAGCGAGAACTTCGCCAGCAGTGACTTTTAGTTGAAGTTGCGGCCATTCATCCCGAGGAACTTTGGAGAGGATCATGTGAGCACGCCAGCGCGAGTGGATTTTCTTGATGTCGTTGACGACATGACTTAATAGCCCCGGAGGCTTGGGCCACCGGACGCTCTTGCCGTAGTCTCGCATTTGTTTGACGCCACGGAAAGCGTTCTGGAGATCCACAACATATGAACGCATTTTGTACTTTCGATAATGACGAAGGATGACCAGAGCTGCCTTCATCTTTTCATACTGCATCCTGCAGATGGCACCACGCCAAAGCTTTTGCAGGAAAATCACAATTCCAGGCAACAAGCGGGCTCGACCTTCCTCCAGGGCGAACAGAGTTTGTGGGGAGCGAATGAAGACTTTGGTTTTGCCATACATGACGTCGTTACTGAAGTTCTGCTCTTCCAGCAAGATTTTGGTGCCCTGCATGTCACTTCCACCGTGAAAGTTAGGCCACGTATACTGTGAAATCATCTTGTAGCGGCGCAAGAAGCGATCATATGGCTGACGGTGAGCAAATCCAGCTCTCCTAACGCGGACATTTTCAACGAGGCCAAGGTAATTGACTTGGTGTGTCACGCGTTCAGCGTCGAAGATCACCGGACTCTTTTGTTCGTTCGGTTTAATACAACGGACATAATACGGCTCTTTGCTGGCCAGTGTTTTAACTAAGGAGATCATGGAGTTCTTGAAGAGTGTTCCAGCCGTGAGAGGCCGCTTTGTTGTCGCAGTGATGGACGTGGCGCCTTCAGGCCACATGCCACTGATCACGGGATCCTTGGAAGAATACATAAGGCGTTTGAAGTCCTGGAAAAGCGTGTCTTTATTCTTCTCCAAGAAGCCCTTGATGCTGTAGATGACATCGCCAGCGTAATGCTTAATCCGGAACTCTTCGACGTGTTTCAGTTCCTTGTCCGACGGAGACAGTTTTCGGGTGGTGAAGTGATTGTGCCCTTTCAGTTTGTTTTCCATGGCCTCCAGGCACATTTCGTCTGTCACTTTACCCACATTGAGGCAGCCTTCGTCGAGGATGGCGATGATGCCTTGGTGATTCTGCTCCACGAGATCGCAGATAATTTGGTTGTTGAAGTACTCGATCCTCTGCCACTCGATGCCCTCGCGTTGATACTCTTCCTGTTCCTGCTTCAGGACCAGTTCTGAAAACGATCATTTAAATTGAGAAGCAACATTCAGAAGAAAAAAAACAACGTTATTTAATCTCGAAATAAAAATGAATAGCCACTGGCTGGAGAAAGTCAAGGAGAAAACCATTTTTTGCTTGAATATATTATGTTTTGCTCATATCAATAGGAAGGAAGTAAGGGTACTGTCACCATTGGAAATCACAATTCAGCCTGAAATGTTACCGATGAAGAGCTGCTGGAGTTTCTCATTGCAGTAGTTGATGCAGAACTGCTCGAAGCTGTTACGGTCGAATACTTCGAAGCCGTAGATATCGAGGACTCCGATTACGGTCATGTAGCGGTACCGTGACGACTGCTCTTCTTCCTTCACTTGGATGGCTGTGTTGACGTTAGACACAATCGTGCTGAACAGACGTTCGTAAATTGCCTGAAATAAAACAATATTTTCAACCCTTGCTGCAATACCCTATTCTTATTTGTTAGTCTCTACAATGAATGCATTGCTAGCAGTGTTCAATTAAGAACGTAAAATGATAAGAGAGCAATCTTTCAATTTTTTTCACGATAAAAGTAGACAGGTTTTGTAGCAATTGAGTGCAGAATCAACTTTTTGGACGTATTAATTCATCATCCTTTCCTCTGATATTTATTCATATTCGATACCATTACTCACATTCAGAATAAAAAAATATATTCAAGATATCAAGTGTAGCGATGGTGTTACTTTCAAGTTTACACAAGCACAACTTGTATACTTGCAGCCGTAAGAAAAACAGTCAATATAGATTGGTGCTACCTGCGAGAAATACTTTGAATACTTTTTCAAAATTCTAAAAAAAAATTTCTTTACTAAAAATAGAAACATGGTACCTCAGTCAGTACTTCGCAAACAGAACACGTGAGGATAGAAACCTCAGGACGCACCTTGGCAAAAGCATCCCTGGCGTACTCCGCCTCGGTCTGGGTGTGGTTCTTCTCCATGACCTCCCCCCTGGCGGCGATCACACGGCCCACCAGGGACTTCACCAGCTGCTCCTCTGCTCACGAATCATACGTAAATCAGGATTTCCATCCAGCGTATTTTATGATTTTTTCATCCCGCGTATACAGTATTTTTACCGGACAGCGGATAACCTATCAACTTTCGGATAATTGTGGTTTCTTCGTCTATATATATAATGGAGTTTAAAATGTTTAACATCTTTTAAAAACTCTACTATAAGAAATAAATACAGAGACACGTTTTCTCACAGAGACCCATTTACAGAGATAAATACAGAGACAAGTTTTCTTACAGAGACCCATTTACAGAGACACGTTTTCTTACAGAGACAAATACAGAGACTCAACAAGGAGCTGATTCGCTTCGAGTCTTGGTCATTAAAAGGGGACGGAAGTTCAGGGACGCGACCCGCTATGTCTAGAGACACAAGAGATTGAGAGACTAATGGCCGAAAATCGTTAGAAAACTTGTTGCGTTTCAAAGGAATCAAATAAATGTTTTGTTCATTCAACTATGATCAAGTTAGTTTTATATTTTTCGTTACTAAATCTATTGGTTAGTGTCGTAGTTCGCCACGCTGCAGCTCGATGAATTAGAGGTGTAGAGGGGATTATTAGCGCTCTGTATTAGTCACAAATCTCCTCACTTTTTATTTGATTCGAATTCCGTACCCAGGACTGCGAGGTGAACAATGTAATTTTAAGCGACAACAAGTGAAAATTTGATCCACTCGTTATCAACAGAACAGTCTGTAAACTATGCAACAAAATGAAGAATAAAATATTTGCCAAGATTTTTAGTAGAGGAAATTTTTGTGGTAGACAGATAATTCAAGGGGTTTCCAGACAACTTGACTAATAAAAAAATCTAGTCATGTGCCTGCTGCATAAGAATATTAATAATATTACAAAGGGGAACTGTCCAGGAAAGTTAACTGTTCGATTGTTGTGGATTGGCCATGTGAATGTGATATATTAAAAAATAAAAAACTAGGATATTTTGTCATAATTAGTACTGAATGCCAACACATGCAAAATACAGCACGGAAGCTTGGCAGAGTCAAATATACGGGTATCAATGCCCAAACAGACGAAGAATCTGAGAAGTTTTTAACTTCGTCATATGCGTTAATAGAAGTGAATATCGGTGCAGAGCTCACCTTCTACACGCAGCAACTCAGCAATATTTCGAATTGCGTCTTTGTTTTTGATGCTCGTCGACTCGCCGTCATGCTTGAACTCGACGTTTCCCTGCAACAAATCGCTGTGTTTATTCTCAGCAATTAATAACACTAAAATATTCGACGGTACTGGTATATCAATTTTGTGAGTCGCCCAAGAAGATGAAGGAATTGCAATTCCTAGTTTTAACGAAATCCGAAAATAAAAAATAAGTAAGCTGTAATCATCCCATACCGAGCAGTATGATCAACCATATCTGCATCTAAGGTAGAGCTGTTAGCAACACATCACATGACAGCAGAAAGTTTTATTGTGACAACGCTAGAAGATAGGATTTTCTAATTGGTTGTTATTTGCCGTCTCAGTTGTCTGTAACTCTAAACAGATCAGCATTATCGACACAATTCTTGAAATCTGAAGCCGGCTGCTATTTTTGCCACACATCCTATACATAGTATACACCATAGAAATAATGCGCTGTCAATTTATACCATATTTTAGTCGTGACGTGAAGATCGAGAATTAAAACATTCAAGAGCCACAAGAAGGAAGCTAGCCTGAAACTGCGATATTGCACCAAGCATTTGAACACTCCATTGGCACAAAAACAAAGCTAACCTGAATTTGCTATATTGCCTGCACAATTTACGTACGAGATGTAGAATGGCAGCGACCGTGCGCCAGATCGCGTCGATAGTGTCGGTGCTGAAGCCCTGGACTTTGAAGGCTGACGAGACGGTGCGGTAGTCGGACTTGTCACTGATGCTGTCCACGCGCGGGCTGCCGCCCTGGTTGATGAAGTGATACTTGGACACATCGCGCTTCAGCTTCAGCTTGGACAGCTCGCTGTCACTCGCACCAGCCAGCAACTGTAAATACACAATCATGAATAAAAACAGTTTTAATTCCTATGAAAAAGAGTTATAAAAATTATTAATTAACTTTTCATTATGAAACTAGTTTTATGCTTGTTACCATGCGTTATATAGCAAAAAAAGGTTTATCTACGTGCAAAAAATATTTTTTTTACAGTTTATAAAATAAACTTTCGAAAAGATCAATTTTAAATTTTAATTGAATAAAAAAGGCAACAAGGAACTGGTATGTTCATGACGAGGTATTACAGACTCTTAAGAAAGAATAATGAATATTCAAGTGCTCGGTGTGTTTTTTATCATTCAAGACACGATATGAACACACAGTTGTCATTAAAAGCGTATATCTAGCATAAATTCGTCGTATAAATAAACTTTGCCACGCAACCAAATCTCCTAAACAAAACAAAGCCCATCTCTCCAGAATAAATCTTGTCGCGCACTACCAAAAGCAAACGAGTCACGCATATTTCAAGTCCCATATTAATATCAACCATGCTAGCCTGCGTAATTTTACAACGTTATAATCGTATGTACTACCGAATCTTTCGGACCTGGTAGAATGAATGGAAATTCCTCTCGCCCTTCTGCTGCAGCACGACCCTGCTCTTCTCCAGCAGGTAGTTCTCGATGTGGCCGCCGATGGGGTCGCCTTTGAAGTCAAAATTAATGTCCATGTACTTGCCGAAGCGGGACGAGTTGTCATTGCGGTTTGTCTTGGCGTTGCCGAAGGCTTCCAAAACGGCGTTGGATTGCAGGAGCACATCCTTCACGCTGCAAAGTAATTCATTATCTTGTTTATTTATTTTAAGAACAGATTAACATTATGTCTGGTACAAAACTTCAAAGGCAAGTTGCGAAAGTTGCGAACAATCTTTCTTATATGAGTTACGTTACCAATAATTGAGAACGCTTTTCACAAAGAGCGCATTTCTCATTTATGGAAAAAATGCACTATTGTGCTCGCCATGTCCGTTCGTCCGTCTGTCTGTCTGTCCGTCTATCCGTGACCTCAAGTTTTCGTCGACGAGAAATTGCGCTCTCTGTCACTCACTGCAGTGAGTACTGAGTTATATTTTTTCAAAATTATTATGAAGTAACAAAATTTTTTAGTTTTTACCAACAGTTGGCAAATAGCAAGGAAATATCCTTAAAGAGCATCAGGATATTATTATTATTAGAATTATTAGAGCATATTAATCTAAGAGGAGTAATCTAGAGCTTACAAATATCTTCTTAATTAATTCATGCAAATCATGAGTTACGGCGCTGGACACTCACTGGTATTGTATCCAATTTATCAGTTGTCATCAACATATGATAATGGATCGATAAAATTAAAACACAAATACCATTTTAAATCGATCAATTCAAAAGCCCTTCAAATTACCACCTTGATTATAATAATTACTGGCCCATAGAGAGTTTAAATCTGAATTTCTTGAATAAAAAACAAAACGATAGAACTATATACCGCTCAATCTCGGACTGGCCGGCGACGTTGGTGACCGCAGCGATGTATCTCATGATGATCTTCGAGGCCTCGGTTTTGCCGGAGCCAGACTCTCCTGAAAAACAGCACATCGATAAATCAATCAAATGACGCGAGAAATTCGCAGCAACGGAAATTATACGAGCTCCGTCAATTAAATAAGATGGTCGCAGTGCTTATATATGTCGACGTTTGTGACTTGGTCTAAAATTCTGTATTCAAGACCGGAGTGAAACAGTAGCTGACCATGAGTAGGTAAAAAAGTTTACCTGATATGACGATGCAACTGTCGCGTCCGCGTCTTTTCATTGCTTTGTAAGATGCATCCGCAATTGCAAAAATGTGTGGAGGCCTCTCGAAGATCTCGCGGCCTGTAACACAATAAGCATTTAATCAAGAAATAAACTTTGGGAGCAAGTGACAGTGTAATTTAGTCAAACGTGTAAACAAGCAAATTCAATTAAAACGCACACAATAAACGTAATTGAATCAATAACTCGAACTTAATTTATTCAGATGTTCATAATATACCTCTCAGGCACTGTCTAAAAAGCTTTCAGACTCCTTATGCAGTCGTAGTTTTGAAACATATTGATCTGGTGATAAGGTTACGGTCTATGTATAGATGGCCTCAGCTGATAGTGTGCGAACGTATATGAAAATATGTGACACGGCCTCACATGGTCACGCTAAGCGTCACAAGAGTGCTGCGAGCATGAAGCATTAGCACAAAGCAAGTGAATGTAAATGGCTTGCACACTTGCGAAGCCAATACGTTAAAGGCAGCAGCGGTGAGCGCATTAGCAGTGCTGAACAATTGCCTTCCTGTAACGCGCAGCAGTCTGATTAATAGCGGTCAGTAATGTGACTACGGGCATAAGTGACGTCACGGAGACTCGTATCCGTATCGTGACAGCGCTGGCACGTTAGCACCTGGTATCTTTATTACCAAACATCACAATTCGCAGCAGGAAGCAGCGAGATGCGTATTGTAAGAGGCTTATAATGATACACGGAACTTCCATGGCCCAGGGCATGAAATTTGATGTCACATAAAGCATATGCTATGATATAGCGAAAAAAGAAAAATCTGTAAAAAAAGCTTATACGTACTAGTTTATCATAATTCTCTGAGGAACGAATAATGAATGTTCGAACAAGAAGTTATCGGTATTAAGAATAAATTTCAGGCTAAATTAAATAATTACCTTTTTCATTCAATAATTGCTGGTTCAGTTTTTTTAATATGTTTCTTAACACGTTGACACCGATGTGGTACATATGCGTACCACAAAAAGTATTTTTCCATGACGTAGTGGTACATAATTCATGTGGCCTAAAATCGGCCAAATCCGAGAACAAAAAAGGCCGATAACTCAATATATACTAGTTAATTTGTAGGTTCCGCTATAAAAATTCCATTTATTTTCTTTTTGCAGTATTTAAAATTTAATTAGAAAGTACTTCTATCATAAATTTTAGCCGGCCAACGCAATTGAGAAAAATTTAATCACGGAATTTGTCCGGAAAAAATGACCGTCTGGCAACCCTGTTTAAAAACAGTACAAAAATGAAATAATAGTACAAGATGAAGCAATCGGAGTCAACGTGTTAATATTAGAAATGCCTCATATCGTAAATTGCAATTATCTAAACAAACGCCGTTTTCAAGATGACAAGTAAGAGCGTGCTAGAAAAGTACGATCCCCCAAGAAAAGTTAAAAAAATTAAACATTTAAACATTATATAACAGGAGTAATTATATCTGCACTTTACATTTATTATTACTTATAATGATTCTCGAGGTAATAATGTGCATGCTACTAACCCTAATATTTCGGAAGCTGACTCTCAGTCCATTCTTGGAATTTAAACATACCATGTTTTAGTATAGCGACTCGTATTAACTGCTGGCTTCTTGTATATAGTTGCCAAAGCTGTACTTTGATCACGTCAAATAATAAATTGCTAAAATTTAGAGAGCGCTAAAATAGAGTCCATGTATTGAACGGTATTCTTATAACTGACAATGCACCGAGTGTTACGTTACGATATATGAAGATATGCATGATAACACTACCTTTGTACTGCTGTACGTAGTTAGGATATATGAAGGTATGCATGATCACACTATACCTTTGTATTGTTGTACGTAGTCGTTGCCGTAGAGTTTGACTGTCGTGTAGGGGTTGACGGACACGCACACTTCACCGATGTAGGTGTAAATACGGCCATTGTTGAACCTGGAAAATTGTTAAATAGTTCATTTTAGGTATTTTAAATACGATTTACGTAGTTATAGTAGTATAATAGTAGTTAGAATACTAATAAAGAGTGTTCTAGTAGTTTGAGTAAGAACGCGTGATCAAACTCTAGTAAAAATACACAATTGAGACGAAAGTACACATCTGAGGTAGGTATAGAAGAGCGAGTGGCAAACCAATGCGAGAGAACAAAATAAAAGAAAACAAACACTGATAAAAATGAACCTTAGTGATTGAGGCACATTGGAATAAAAATTCCAAGAAATTGCTTAATCGCAGCAAGCGACTTCCGGTGACGTTAAAGCTTAATGTAGCTTATATGTTGTTTGCTTGGTGACGAGAGCGTGCGGAGACGATAGAGCTGTGCAGGATGTTGACAGACTTACGTACCACATCCTGTACTTATATGTCAGTATAGTCTTTAATGCTCACAGTATTTATTACAGACATTATATGGTTTACATTAATTTAGAAAGAGATAATTGTGAATTTCTGTCAAACTCATTATTTCACGCGTCATTTAAAGCTGTTCTTAATAAAGCAACATCAGCTTTCAAATAACGTAAAAAAAAACATTTTTAGCACAAAAATACAAATATAGAACTGTTCTAAGCTCAATCTAAAAAAATCGTGTAGTACTTTCAACTACCAGAATTTCTGTTTTCATGTTCATTTCATTTTTATCTATTCAACATGAAAATCATTTTTATTCAAAATCACTTTTATTTATTCAGCAGGTACAATGTGTGTTCAAAGTCAACGGTACTGTTGTGGTTTTAAATAACGGGATGGATTCTGGAGCAATTTATGTGATAAATGAGTCTTATTGCCTCCATAATGAGATAACTTCATCATGGAGGTTTACAAGTGTACATTATACTGACCATAAGTGCATAATTAGATGGAGGCCTTTTTAAATAGATCGACGAACGATTTTGTGGTGATGCTATAATGTGCAGAGCTAATCATATAAAAAAGTGCAATTGCACTTGCTGGTCTTGAATACCGTTGTGGGAAGGAGTAAATTCATCAATGGATTATATAATACAAAAGAAAGCTCAACATACGCGTGCAAAAACTGTGGTAAATACGCATTTAAAACAAAATTGAGATCATACTAACAATTTCGATTAAACTATGTACTTTCCCAACACTAAATAAATCAACCAACCAATGAAAATAAATGAAGATTGTTTGAAATAATGAAATCGCTAAAACTATTGATCTTTCGCACATTAATTAGCACCATGACTTGAAAGGAACAGGTATTTCTTTCATTGAAATGACTTAAGACTGCACTCAACATAATCATCACAAGACAACACGTAATGCATTGGCTCCCAAATTTTCCATCGCGTTACGTGAATGTAACCTTTGAACAGACGAATTTCTTTCAACGAACAAACAAATCTCCTATAAATTAAGGCCATGGAATTCATCTCCAGAGTGCTAGTAAATAGGATAAATAACAATAGCCTCCAGCATGCATGATTAGAGGCTAGTAAAGAGGGTACGTACATAACATTCGTCTCCAGCATGCATGACCAGAGGCTAGTAGAGAGGCTATAAACATGAGCAACATTGAGTGTTGTGAGCAGGAAATGTGAGCTGGTGCACAGCGACGTCATACGTAACCCTGTAGCTGCGTGCGATAACAAGCACGTTTTCCGTCTAAACGGTCACGAGATAATTACAGGCATTTAAAATGTGTCAACTGAAATTGACGAGGTAATGACCATACATATCGCTGGACATGTCAAGGCCGCGTTTTCTATTGTACATACAGCGACCAAATTTGGTCCCAAATGAACAATAAATAGTAAATACGGACGACGCATGCGCAGAACGTTGAATACGTTGCATTGAGAGAAAATCAAGTGATTTGTTTTACAAACAACCTCACACGTATATCAATAGTTTAAATTTTTGGTGAAGACATAATAGATACCGTACTAGGTTGAGTGGGAAGGCAGACCTACATGAAGCTGCAGTATAAATGATGTGGAGCCAGACACATGCCAGAGCACGAGCCATGTGGCTCATGCCACGCACATCATAAACAGACCGCTGGTATTTAGGCTACAGCCTTCAGGTCACTGCCACACATATAACAGAGGTGACAGAGCGGCGGTGATGCTTGGGATTTAACCGAAATGGCTTGAAATTGAGAGTGGATATAGAAGCTGTTCATCTAAGCGAAAATAGTTTCATGTTGCGGCTTGTAATTGACTTCAATGGGTCTGAAAACAAGGGACCGCGACAACTGATAAGTGTACTGCATGCACAATTGCACACTGGTTTCACGGATGAATCGTTCCTTGGATAATGAAAATTCAAGTCGAAATATGATGCTCAAACACATTTTTATAAAATCAGCACATAGCAATTGCATCGTCATATACAAATAAGCGGAAAATTTTTTCTTTAAACTTTTAGTTATGACAATGAGCCAGATAATAAATGAGCCCTTCTTTGCGCATTCACGATATTTACAGCGTCAGCCCGAATAATTTTAAATTTCTCAGTGGGTACACAACATCTCAGTTCCAGCAAAACGAACTACACTGCCAACAATAGAGCATATAACTCCCATTTTCGTATTCATTATTCAAAGATATTCTGAATGTTCCCAAATTGAGTCCGAAGAAGCAGCCGGCAGCAGCCAGGTGTGTAGCACGGAAGGTGCGTCACGATAACCTTATCCGGCCACACTCAAGGCCCCGAGCAACCAACCCCTCACCAGCCCCAGGGGCTCGGAAAATATCCTTGTTGTTGTGCGAGACGTTGTCGTGAGTGCGGCCGTGAAAAATCTGGGAGAAAACAAGCGCTGTTGTCGAGTCACTTAAACTTATGTTTCGTGCAGCTTGTTATCGATATGATTTTAAAAGGTGACCACATATTCGTGGAGCTGTCGTAAATTACAGCGTCGTGGGAAATTGTAGAAAAACTTTGTAATAACATCGAAAAACGAAAGTTAAAACTAATAGTGATAAAAAAACAAGTAGATGTAAAAAGCTGCACACGCAGCTCAATTCTACAATTTCTATAAGCTCATAGAAAACATCAAGATTGATTACTTCGAATCATTCGCAAATCTATCGAGTACGTAATACTGAAGTTCTTCATATTGGCCGTAAGAAAGTAAGTAGCGGAAATCGCAGCAATAGTGATCATTTTCCGTACCCAACAATGTGCATTTTTATGTGCATACGCTGCGTTCGAAGTCGCAACGATTCTATAGCGCCCGCGCTGGTTTCACCAGCTATGACCTCAAGACACCGATGCCGCCCGGTCAAGTCCAAGTTAAGTGGCAGGCTCATGCTGAAGCCAGGTTTCTGGTGAGTGAACAACCATCGCTGCCAGCGTATATGCGGGTAGTGACGTCATGTCGCCACAACTGGCCACTGCACAAAGGCATTTGACACGATGTGGAATTGCTGACGCCAATCGATAAGCCATTGATGATATTTAAAGTTGAAATCGTACAAAATTTTATCAATAGATTTCCTATTAAGCGTATGTGTTATTGAATTGATGAAAACATCATGGAAAAAATTCTTGTTTGGAGTTTGTCACGGAAATCTGAAATTTACTTTCTTCTCTGAGAATAGCACGTTACAAGTCATAAAGAGGAAAAAATCAAAGGTTGTGCATCATTTCCACAGACGAGAACAACATAACAAATGCTGTTGATGGCGGAGAAGAAATTTAGGGTACCAGTGGGGAAACAAAAAAAAAGCGGGAACCTGGCGAGGGCGCACACGCGTGTTGCGCGGAAGAGCAGACACGCAAACCGGTTTTGGGGCACCGAATTAGGTCTTAGGGAGCGCCGGTGCTCGCTGTCCAGTCAAACTGCATAGGTCTACATCCAAACACCACGAAAATTCGGCTTATCTGTCTGTGCTGAAGATCGAAAGAGGAAAAACGGATTAAATGAGGATTAGCTGTAGGCCACAGCCAAACAGACGTAAGAACTTAAATTAGCCATTTTCTATGACAATGATAAAATTTTAAACCTCAAATGATGTCTTAAATCTGTACAATGACCATAGGTTTACATATGATTTTTTTACGAGTGGATATTGACGGAAATCAATAAAAACAAAGTTAAGGAAGTAGTTTCATTAGAGTATCGGTGACACGCTTTTGATGTTTACTAATTGCAATCAAATTGCAATGCAGCGGTAGACAGACGAGCTCGCGACACGGTACACCGAGCGTCATTTTGCACGCCGTCTTTTTACAGGCGCGTTGCATCACAAGCAAGGCTGACCCGCATGACGCGGTCACGGCACGCACCGACCACGCCCTTCACGAGTGACGGGTAGCGTAATCGTGTCCACAATACGAGAAATGAGTCAGTGAGACTTTGTCCGAATAACGATACGCTTTTTACCCTTTGGGGGGTCATCCTGACCTAGTTGGGCCCGTTCACAGGGCGTATCAGTGCTACATGTACAAAGTGTATCATTATTTGTACAATATAACCCATTCATTTTTTATGAGTGTACATTGAACATTCTTGCTTCAAGTCTCATTTAATTGTTCGAACGATGCAAATGAAAGGGAAAAATTACTATACATACGTAGGAGGCGTATGAGCGTAGCTGTGAACGGGCTATTATTGAAGGCTCTTATTTTCATCATATAACAAACAATACGCGAGTGTGGATCACTTCAAGTCGGTGGACATTTATCGCTGTTGCCACAGAATGTTGATTGTGTGTCCAGACGCAGCTTCCCACGATATTGCTCTACCTGCCACATATTATACTACCTCTTTAACAGCAAACGTGAAGTAGCATATGAAAACCTTCAATACCGGTACTGTTGCAACGAAGATCATTCATAATATAATTTAGACTGGTTCACATGTTTCAAAAGGATTGCGTACAACATAGAAAGGAGATTCCTTTCACGAGGGATTCTTCAACGCACTATCGATAGCTTTGTTACTTGTCTATTTTCAATGCGTTTTA